CAGGTTTTTCCACAACAATCCTATGAATTTAGGTTCCCTGGATCTCTTTGGGCTTAACCCACCAGTTTAACCATAATACCAAATTAATATGGTCTATATTTCAACTTCTGAGTTGCTTTGCTTTTTGCCATTATATTGATATTGAAGGAACTCAGTTATGTTTGTATATAATATTCCCCAAAAGTCTAATTCCAGTGCAGAAATAAAGAACTATATCATCTCACAGAGAGGAAAGAAATGTAATGGAACTCTATCAATGTGATAAAGTAGCCTGGAGCCAATTTCATTAAAACACAAGCAGGATCTGCTTGGAGCATAGGATCCAGGTTTATTTCCAAGTCCACTGTTCATCATCATTAAAAAAATATGTCAGTAATTTAAACTTCCTTCCTAATGATTTTTTAAACCAGAATAAGCTTCTTATCATTAAGATTAGTAAACAGTTCCTTTGGGACATCTCTGTTTAATTTCATGACACAGCCAAACCAATGTGTAATTGTGTGATGGCTTCCTAACTTGAAATTTTTTGCAAACAATAATTCTTGAGCTCTTTCTATTCAAGAGTTAGGATCCCAGATTTTACTATAGTAACAGATTTTTACTTTGGCCTCTGATAAGCTTCCTGAAATGGGTCAAAATATTTTCCTTCTTGTTAATCCTATTTCCTAGCAAATATATGTAAGTAATCATGGAAGGCATTTGCAGCTTTTCCTACAGAACTTACAGAAATGTTAATTGTAATAAGGCTTATCCCATTTTACATACTCCAAGACTTAACTAAACCTGCTGCCAAATTCTGATTTGTCCTCTTCTAGTTGTTTTGGCTACATGAGACATCTCCTTAGCCAGCTGGTTTGGGATGTCTCAGAAGAGCGCAAATTGTTAGTTAATTTTTTAATTGTATTTTTATATCGAGGGAATATTGCCTGTGGGGATTTCTGAAGTGCCAAAATAATTTATCAGTGTTGGGTACCATGATAGAATGTCTCAAGTCTATTCATCCATTTCCTTTTAATTGCATCTTTTATATTTACACACCTAAAATCTCAGCCCTCTTGAACTATATTCCAGTCATGTAACCAGCGTAACTCATATACCAAATATTGGAGGATTTTACCAGAAGAATAAAGGTAGTTTTATTTATAGGGAAAAACTGAGGTTTTAACTAGCAATGAACATCTATCTATGTGTCTATTCTGGATTTTCAGACTTATAAGAAAGCACTTGAGGAATCAGACAAAGTGGGTGGCCTTTAGATTTTTGCCACAATAGGACATTTAAATCAAGAATATCATTCAGATATCTAAGCCTCAAGGTACATAATATATTTAATAAGTCAGAAGTTACCAAAGATGATATTTGTTAACTCTAAATGTCAAACTCTGCAGCAGAAACAATTATATTAAAAAATAAAAAAGAACTTTGCGTACATTTATCTTTCAGTTTGAAATTGCTTAATGCAGAAAGTTTTTTCCCGTTTAATGGAATGTTCCCTCAAAAGGTGAAGGAAACCTCTGAATGACTCATTTTGACAGCTGGTGTAGCAAATGTTTATTGATAGATGGACTTCAAATCATGTATCTATTTATGTGCTAACTAAAATAGTATTTCTCCAATGTGGAGATTGTCACATGGGTCTCACAGCAACTTCCAGCAATCCTAGCCAATAATATGTAGGTGGAAGAAAACAGATCTGAAAGACCATGATTGAACAGTGATTCTGTACTGAATAAAATGGGGTAAATTAATATAAAAATATATCAGCTATATAAAGATATATATCAGATATAAAAATCTATTCTTTTGAATAGATTAATTAGAGACAAAAGAACTTACTGCTTTAAAGGTAGATTACAAAAGTTAAGATACTAGTGAAAATAACAAACTTCTGATTAAAAACTGGTTGGAATTCTCAAATTAAAATACTGCTTATTTCAATTATTTGGCAGGATAATAAACTCAAATATTAAGTATTACTGTTTTACCCAAAGTGATTTCTCTGTGTCATTTAATTAGAGCAAGGATCTCCAACCCCAGGCTGTGGCCTGTTTGAAACTGGGCCATGGGAGAAATGAGCAAGCCACTGCATATACAAAGCTCCACTTGCACAAGTGGTGGGCAAGCACATGCATGTGTGTGAAGCTTCACTTGTGCAAGCAGAGGGAGATTGTGCTCATGCACATAGCTCCATTTGTGCGAGCGGAGGGAGCTTGCACTCGTGTGTGAAGCTCCATTTGCATGAATGGAGCTATATACACGAGCTCTCTCCATGCAAGTAGAGCTTTGTGCATGAGTACAAGCCCCCTCTGGTCAAGTGCCCTCTGCTTGCACAAGTTGCTCGTGTGCAAGCACAAGTATCTGCTGCTCATGCGAGTGGAGCTTCACAAATATAAGCACCCTCCACTTGCGTGTAAAGCTCCGTTCGCACGAATGGAGGGGTGTGTGTGCACCACACATAAAAAAGGAGCTGTATGTGCACGCTAGGCCAGGCCCGGTCACCAAGCTGGAAAGATTTGGGACCACTGGATTAGAGTTAATGGTTAATGTTAATATGATCACACTTTGATGAGCATGGTTTAAAGATATATGCTTTTACTAATGTTGTTTAGTACTTCTGCTGTATTGGGGGGCATAAATATGGACTTTTAGACAAAGAAGTGGTTTCCTGTTTTTTTGGTTTTTTTTGAAAGACATAGAAAATGGAAATGTTATCAAGAATGCAATTTTGGATACAGCTAAATTTTCCTAATCTAATTCACACAAGTCTTTCTTCCTGAAAGCCAATCCTCATCTCAGTTCTGTTTTCTATACTAAAGGAGGAAAGGAGTAAAAGAAAAACTGCTTCCCTGTACAATAGCCAGAGGAAATAAGAAAGCAGCTGTTTCCTTCTGTACATGGAAGAACTGCTGCCTCAAAGAGAGAAAATCTTCCCAAAACTTCTTTCTGAGATATTTTGGTCTTCTAATCTAAGTCAGACCGTGGAACTGGATCAGCGCCCCATCTCTGTTTTAACAGAGGGGTGCCACAAATCTGTCCATCTTCTTCAGTTCCAGTATAGATCAGCAAAAGCTGAAGTGAGCTTTGGGAAGTTATTGTATGTAAAAATGTTGTAGATACATGAAATGATTCCACATTTTAAAAGTCCAGATCAGTTTATATAAAAGCTGTAATACAATTTTTTTTTTTAAAAAAAAAAGCTGCATTAAATCCAAAAATTAAAACACAAAAACAACAGATCTTAGATCTTGGAGCCCAGAGGTTGTACAGGATATTGCTTAATGCCTTTAGAACTCCAAGAAGGAATTAAATGGGATTAACAAAAAAATCCAAAGTCAAGTTATTTTGCCTCTGCTGTTGAAAATGAATTTGAATCTGGCATATTATCTTAATGTTCAAAAAGGTTAATATGGCAGTTGTTGAGATAGAAGCCAAAATACTTGAGATTTTAGATCAGCAGTAATATTTACCAAACAACATAGATCCCATCAGATCTTATACAAATACTGCCTTGGCAGCCACATAACTCACCTTCCTACCAGATATCATGTGTTGTTAGTTTTTTTAGTTTTAAAAAAGAAATGGAAAGAGTTGAACAAGCTGCAAAACAAGTTGTATCATGTTTATTTACAAGATTATCTTTGGGCCTTACATAAATCCATGAGCATTTTTAGAAAACAAATGAATGTTCAGGGTTCAGAATTGTTTGAAAGCTTGCCCATATCCCTAGAATAAACGATAAGAGTTACTTTGGAATAGAGAAGAAGACTAATTAAAGCTAATGTAGAGAATATATATTCATGTATTTCTAAACATTTTTTTTACAATTCATTTTCTATTATATATTTCTGTAGATTTACTCAGCTATGCCATTCTGAATATTTACCCAAATATAAGCTAACGTACCTTTAAGGAAGATAGCAGCTTTAATGAAATGAGCTGCATTTTATATTCTGCTCAGAAATCTGAACTGACATTCTTGGCTTCGTGTTGTGGTGCAAGAAAGATTTTTATGCATCCTTATTCCTTCAAAATGGCATTGTGTCTTGGAGATGGATGGATGGATACCTTAATGCAGTTCACTCTAATACATGATGAGAACTGAGATAAGCATTTCAGGCGCACTTTAATCAAGCAATTTAAGTGCTTAGAACTATGTATGGAAATCTTTTTCTTATAGAAAGCCTATGCATTTGCTCAGCAATTGCTTTTTCTCTTTACAGAAAAATAAATATTAAATTTCAGTTTGTATTATATGTATGAGGAGGGATAGGCTTTTAATTATTGTTAGCAGTTTATAGGCTGGATGGCAGGCTAGCATGTTTCATGTGTATTCCTCTTTTTTCTCACATAGCTATGCTTTGTATTAAATTGTATATGTGGTGTGAAATTGAAAAAGAATTCAGAAAATAAAGTTTGATTTTGATTCCAGTTACAAGTACAAATTGCTTCTCCTAACTTTTAAGCATGAAGATCAGGAAAAAGTATGGTCAATTTAAATTAAATTTGTACTAAAAGGAATGGTATATTTTGAGCACTCACCGATATTTTCACGCTTGAACCATTTGTTTCAGTGTGCAATCCTTTATTACATGGTCAAAGTAGATTGGCTCCAAGATATTCTTCTTCAAAGTATCAGAAAACCCCCAGAAGTATTAAAATATGAGACTGGTCTAAATAAGCTTTTGGAAACTTTTCTTCTCTCTCTAAGCTCTTTTCTACTGAAAACATTCTTTCTCAGCAGCAGGATACCCTCAAGTTACAGTTAATGAAATGTTTCCTTTCTGTTTTTTGTCCCGTTTATTATCCTGTTTTCTTTAGAAGCATCATAAATGTATTTACAAATGTCACTACACTATTAATTGATTTTGACGCTGATCTTTTTGCAAGATGTTTCTGATATAATCCAAGTAATATTTGAGTATAGGAAGTCCAGTTAGACATTTTTATCAATTAATTACATTAATGTCTAATTCTGATACCATCTTTAATTAATATGACAGAATTCTCTGACAAGAAGTTGTCCACTTGCTAATGATTCTCCTGCTCGGAGTGGTGCCCGATTCCACAGCTCTTATGACAAAAGATATGTCATCAAAACTATAACAAGTGAAGATGTAGCAGAAATGCACAATATACTGAAGAAATACCACCAGGTAATTCATTATTTGCTTTGGAAATAAGATGGTTGCAATTACACTTCATTGATTAAATTTTTGTATAATGCCTTAAGAAATGGGCATTACAGCTTAGATTTATCGCCAATTTATTTTTCTTGAATTTGTCCTTTGTTGTACATTGTAACACCCATGGTTTTTTTTAAAAAATCCTTTAAGAAATCTCTAGAAGTTTTGTTAAAATTTTAATCTTATTCTGTATTAAAATGAATCTATGCTGCATGATTGTCATGCGTTTATTTACTTATGTCGATTTCTTGTACAGTAGTTGAAAAAATATCCTGAGTGGTTTTTAGCAAGCATTTGTCAAAGTTACCACGTTAAAATTGAAATCTATATATTCTTCTGTTATTAGAACAATGATGAAAGGTTTGGGAGGAAAATTATCTTTTGACAATTATCTGATCAGACCCAAGAATAAAATCCTCATATATTGACTTTGGGCAGGCTGGGTGAGGATGTAAGGTGCATTTCAAACCTTGCAAATGGGATTAGTTGATACAGTTTCACATGCAGATAGTCAGCTGTTATTGTATTGGGTTCAAACCCTGTACTGGAAATTAAGTTTACAGATCTCTGCATTTTAGCTGACTGTATTTAGTGCATTAGAAACCAGCAAAAAAATTGCAAATTGTGGTTAATGCTGCAACCTGTCATAAATGCAAGCTATTTGCTAAGTGTCAAAATGTGCTTATGTAATTTGGGGGAGGGGCTTTGAGTGTGGTTTCAGGAAGCTTTTTTTAAGTCCATGGCGAATTCAAATGGTTTTAAGACACCAGTTGTAAGTCAGGGACTACCTATATGCATATCCAAAAAGAGATGTTGCAGAAGAGTCATATTAACCATGATAGTGAAGGATATATGTTTCTAATTAAGGATGAAAAAAAGAAATCAAAAAATATTTACTCTTTGCATAATGTTAAGCTTGGATGTTCCTAAAACAGCCAATTTTGCACACCATAAATCTGATGCCATATGGACCTCAGGTATCTTGATCAGTGGTCCCAAACTTTCCAGCTTGGTGGCACAGCCTGGTGCAGGGTGTGTGTGCATGGCAGGTGCAGGCATGTACGCACCGCTTTATTTGTGCAAGTGGTGTGCATGCACCTTCCAATCAGACAAATGGGGCTTCACAAGTGAGCAGAGGGTGCTTGGGCAAGGGTACTCGCACGTGAAGCTCCACTTGCAGAAACACCCTCACACATGAAGCTCCACTCGTGCAAGTGGAGCTTCACACATACCCTTGCCCATTTCTCCTGCAGCCCAATTTCGAACAGACCTCAGCCCTATAGTGGGTCTTGCCCTGGGGATTTGGGACCCCTGGTCTAGATAATAAAATTGTATATTTATTTTAATTTATTCTATGATAGAACTGAAATGATTCAGATTTCTACAATCTCTGAATAATAGCACATTTAAACATTTTCATAGTTGATAGTCTACCTTCTTGCAAAACAAGTTTTCACAAAGCTAATTAAAAATCTAATTAAATTGTACCAGTGATTAATATGAATGTGAAAGAATTCCTTGCTGTGGAATTCTCTTCTAAAACTGACAGAATCTGAACCAGTTCTATTTTTTAAGTGTTATTTTCACATGAAGCATTAATAGGTCAAGATTTTGTACTCTGGGAATAAAAATTCAGATATGCATTTCAATTTTATATAATTTAATTTTTATGCATTCTGTATGAACTTGCAAATTCTAGAATTTACTTGAAATCTTGAATCCAAATGAAATTTTCATTTCTTTTGACAAAACTATATTCTGGACACTTTATTTACAATTAAATTGGAATGTATTGAAGTGATCAAAATCCCAGAGACCAAAGTATACAAAGTTAGTGGAGACAATTATTGTTATAAAATAAAGATTTGATCAGTAGTGACAGTAGCTGGCCAGATGATAAGTTATTGTATTGCATCCAATAATGATACAATAATATAAAAGCAATGACGTTATAAATTATAAGCTAATGCAAATAAAGCCTGGCTTTTTCAATTACAAAGAAATTTCAATTCGCTTTTTGTACGATGTCAAATGATAATGATGGATTTCACTGCTATGAAACAATCTTGGGATATTGACAACTTATTGTCAACAGCACTGTAGTGGTGTTACCATCTATAATATTTACTCAGCTAATCATACTAGAATGCTTTATGTTTTTTATTCTGTCCATAGTGAACATAGCAGGGATACTTGGGCTAAAGTAATTAATTTAGCAAAATTTACTCATTTTCAGCAGCAACATCAAGTTTATTTTTCTTCCACTAGTGTAAAACAGATTTTGACATCGCTCCTGATAGTAACACATGCTGTTTTTTAAATAATGGAATAGATTACATGTTTTCTAAGTAAAATAATTGCAATCTTATCTAAAGAAATCAAAATTAACCAGAAGATGACACAACTGAGAGATCTGTATCAGTACAGAAGAAATAAAGAATGTAAGCTTCCCTAATAAGCTAATAAGGTTTCCCCCCCCAAAAAACACATTACAAATAAGAAATGGCTGCCAGATTGATATAGTTGATAACTAAAATAAGCAGTATTCTAACCTATACTTTTAATTTAACTTTAGTTTAATTAGCCCCAATTTCAGTTGATTCTCAGTTTATTTTAAATCTCTTTTATATTCCTGTTCAAAGTATTGGTGAAAGAGTACACAATCATTTCAGTTAAGAATTTAATATTTCAATAATTTCAAACTGTAGCCATGGTTGGGAAAAGAGGACGGATATTGAAAATGTGAAATATATTCCAATCTCAAAAATGTCTGATTTAAAAGTTGTTATATTTGTTGGACTATGAAGTTCAGTTGTCTTAGAGTCTTAACTGCTGCATAAGAATATAAAATAGATTATTCTCTCCTTAATCACTGCTACTAAATTCATTACAAGAAGGAATATTGGCATTTAAGTGGCCTTGCCTACTAGTCTTAGTCACATGAAATAATCAGCAGAGCAAATCCATCTATTGAATTAAAATGTGCATATGTATGTATATTGCTGATAGATCTGTTTTTTATAACGCACTTACAAACCACAGAAAATGTCATCACGCAAAATTTATTTAGTGTCATTGTCATGCTTATGAAATTAATCAAAAGCCACAATTTATAATCAGTAATGTAGTTTTATGGGATGCCTAAGATATATGGTGGGATCATAGGCTAAAGGAGAGAGGGCGGTAAAAAGTCATTCCAGCATGGAATTACTCTGTGGGAAGAAATGAAAGAAGCCAGACTTGATGCCTTTATCTGCCATTTCCAAAGGAAATGCAGTCAGTCTGGGGAGATTCTTGTAAATAGGTGATCAACAATAAAGAAACTGCTTTGGTCAATGCAAGTAATGGTTCTGGTTCCTTGCACCTGACAAACCTTATTTAATATATTACATCAAACATTTTATTATGTTTGAATACTTTGATTTTTTCTATACCTCCTGAAGCTTGTTCCTCCTATGCTCGCGTGCATATTTTGTGATTATCCTGAATTAAGAAATCCATGATTCAAAATTGTGATTGCCTTCAGATAAATGTATTTATTATGACCATTATTTTTTTAAAAAATCAGTTCATATAATGTCAAAGCATCCACATTTTATTGTCAATACAGAACAAGGTGAAACTAATCTTGAATAGCAGAAAGCCAAATAAAATCAGCTATTCATATATTTACTACATTTCCATAGCAGTATATAAGTATAAATTTTTATTTTATATGAATGTGTATGAAAAGTTGAGATCCCTACTGACTATCCATATTAACAGAATAATCCTTATAGCATTAGGATGTTCCCATTCTCCAGCAATGCCGTGAGGTGTTGAGGAATCAAAAAGCTGCTGTGCTGTTTATAACACAACATAGGATGCTTCGTGTTGTAGAGCAGCGGCAATGACTGAGACAGACGCAGGCTCAAAGTTAACAGGCTTTATTCTTATTGAATAAAGGGTCGCCGCGGCTGCCGAGGCTAACTGGCAGTCAGCTGGCGGCGACAGCTGATACCATTTGACAGCCCCTTTTATAGCCGGCTGTCAAACGGCATCAGCCAATGGGAGCGATCGGCGCTCCCGCGCTCAGGCGGCGGACCAGAGAGAGGACTTGTCAGTCAGCGGACACAGCACTCCTTCCCCCTGGCCAGGCGCATGCGTAGTCCTGCAGCCTGGCAGGCCGCCTTCGCTCGCGGAGACATCGCTGAAGGTCTAGAGGCCTGCTTGCAGGTAAAGTGTCCCTTGCTTGCTGGGAGTCACCCGGAGATCCTTGCTGGCCTTCAGGAGACCTTGTCCGACCAGGTAGGTCCTTCTGACTGGTTCGCCGCGGGGACGGTTCGAGAGTCGGCCGGTAGACCGGGTCGTCAGGTGGGAAGCGGTTCGCGGCTGCTGGGTAGACCGGGTCACTCGGCTGGTCGGCTTCAGCGGGCGGTTGGAAAATCGGGGTGTCAGGCGAGTAGGCTTCAGGCGGCTGGTAGACTGGCACGTCTGGTGGTCCCTGGGAGTCGGCTGCAGCTCTTGCCCAACGCCTCCTTAGCTGGTCTATGTGCCGGCGCCACACTCGGCCATCTTCCAACAGGATCCTGTAGGACTTGGGTCCTGTAACAGAAACTATCTGCCCTGGCATCCATAGAGGGTGCCCTGCATAGTTCCTGGCATAAACCAGGTCCTGCAGGGCAAATTCCCTGGCAAGGCTGTCAGAGCCTAAAGGTGTGCCAGGGGTATGGGGGTGTAACCTGTCCAAGGTAGTCCTGAGACGCCTGCCCATTAATAGTTCTGCAGGTGACTTGTTGGTGGTGGTGCATGGAGTAGAATGCTGGCTGAGTAAGTAAGCAGACAGCTTGAAGTGCCAGTCTGCCTGGCCAAACCTTGCTAAGGCTTCTTTTACAGATCTAACGGCCCTCTCAGCCATCCCATTGCTTGCAGGGTGAAAAGGGGCTGTGAGGGCATGCCTGATGCCCAGGTTGGCTGCAAAGACCCCAAACTCACAATAGGTGAACTGGGGGCCATTATCTGACACCAAGGTGTCAGGGAGGCCATGCGTGACAAACAGTCTGGTCAGGGCTCGCGTGACAGCCAGCGTAGTTGTGGAGGGAAAACGAGTCTACTCGTTAGAAAACGAGTCTACTATGACCAGGAAGGTCCGCCCATGCACAAAGCCAGCCAGGTCAATATGCAGTCGGGACCAAGGGGCCCCAGCATCCTCCCATCGAGTTGGCACAGCTGTTGGAGGTGCTTATCTAGTTGCCTGGCAGGGCTGGCACGTGCTTACCCAACTGGAGATCCGGGCATCCAGGCCTGGCCACCATACGTAGCTGCGGGCCAGAGCCTTCATCCTCACGATGCCTGGGTGGCCTTCGTGAAGGGCTTTTAAAATGGGCTCTCTTAGTGAGGTGGGTATGACCACCCTTATCCCCCATAGTAAGCAACCCTGTAGTGAGGATAACTCATGCCTGCGGGTCTTAAATGGGATGAATTCAGAGGTGTACTGAATTTCAGGCCACCCCCTCCCCACCCAGTCCAGGACTTGGGAGATTACCTTGTCCCTTCTGGTGTGGGCAGCAATGTGCTCGGCTGAGATTGGTAGGTTGAGTTCGTTGCAATCAAAAATGGCGTGGATTGGAGCGGGGTCTTCTACTGGTGTTGGCAGGAAGCACCTGCTGAGGGCATCTGCATGGCACAGGTTCTTCCCCGGGCGATGTACCAGCTTATATGAGTAGGCGGCTAGGAACAGCGTCCATCTGGTCATCCGCGGGGACAGTACCTGTGGGGTTTGCTTGTCTCCTGCTAAAAGGCCTAAGAGTGGCTTGTGGTCTGTTATGAGTTCAAAGTAATGACCATAAAGGAATTCATGGAAAATTTTTTTACAGCAGCCACTGCTGCTAAGGCTTCCTTGTCAATTTGACTATAATTCCTTTCTGCTGTAGAGAATGTTCTTGAGAAGAAGGCAATTGGGGCCTCGGAGCCATTGGGTAGCCTGTGGCTGAGTACTGCCCCTATGCCAAAAGGTGAAGCGTCTGCAGCTAGAACTAGGGGAAGTTCCTGGTTAAATTGGACTAAAACTGCATTTGAGTTTAGCAGGGATTTGACTGCTTGGAAAGCATTGGCTTCTTTTTGCCCCCAGTGCCAGTGGGTTTTTTTATCTAGAAGTCTATGTAAAGGTTCAGCTATAGAAGCCTTGTGTGGGAGGAAAACTGCATAGAAATTCAGTAGTCCTAAAAAGGCTTGTAGTTCTGTTTTGTTAGAGGGAGTAGGTGCCTCATGGATGGCCCTAACTTTTGTTTCTATGGGATGGATTCCAGAGGCGTCAATTCGATAACCAAGGAAGTCCACTTGCTTAGTGGCAATGGTGCACTTGTCCCTTTTTAGTTTCAACCCATGCTGCCTAAAACAGTCAAGAACTGACCTAACCCTAAGTAATAATTGTGTTTTATTAGTGGCAGAGACTAAAATGTCATCAAAGTATGGGACTACCCCTGGGAGTCCCTGGAGGATCCTTTCCATCAGGGACTGAAAGATACCTGGGGCCACACTAACTCCAAATTGTAAACGTTTACATCTGAAAGCGCCCCTGTGGGTAACTATTGTTTGCAAGTCAGCAGTGTGGTTGTCGACTGGGAACTGCTGATATGCTTGGGACATATCAAGTTTTGCGAAAATTGTGCCTGGCTCAAAAGAGTGCAGCAGGTGTTGAATTACAGGGACTGGGTATGCACTAATTTGGAGAAAACGATTGAGGGACGTTTTATAGTCTGCGCAGATTCGCACGCTGCCATCTTTTTTGAGGGGGGTGACTATGGGGGTCTCCCATTTTGCGAAATCTACTTGTTCTAGTACCCCTTGTTTAATTAGCTTATCTAGTTCCAGATCCAATTTAGGGCGAATGGCAAATGGAACTCTACGAGGTTTTAAACGAATGGGGGTGGCTTGTCGGCTCACATCAAATGAGATAGGAGTACCAGAATAACATCCCAGCTCATTACTAAAAACATCAGCGTAGTCCCTGAAAAGGGTGTCTACCTCAGTATTCACCACAGAGTGAATACCAGTTACACTAAGGCCCAGGGCAGGGAACCAATCTAGCCCCAGCAAGCTGGGAAGGGCACCATCTACAACCACCAGAGGCAAGTGGCCTCTAAAGTTCTGGAATTGAATAAGGAACTTGCCTTTCCCCAGGACTGGAATGGTCTTCCCCTGATAGTCTCGAAGAGTCAGGTGGCAGTTGAGCAGCTTCTTCTTGGAGAGTGTAGGGAGCAGCTTCTTCAGGGTGGCCCACGAGATGATTGAGAGGGCAGACCCGGTGTCCACCTCCATCCGACAGGGTTTACCTTCTAGGAAGACAAAAATGCTTATTTTGTTAGACCCAGGGGTGGTATTGTCTGAGTGGTAACAGGTGTAGCAATCTTCAACTTGCCTTTGGAAGGAGGCAGCAGCTTGAGGTCTTTGTGAGAAGGTTTTTTCAGCCTGGCAAACCCTAGCTATGTGGCCTTTTTTCTGGCAGTTTAGGCAGATGGCGTTTCTGAATCTGCAGTTTGACCTGGGATGTGCCCCCCCACAGCTCAGACAATTAGGTTGCTGTCTGGCTGTTGGGTTGGCATTTCTTCTAGGCACCTCTGGGGGGGGGGCCTTGGCAGTCTGAGGTGGTTTACCTCAAGTGGTTCCTCTTCTAGGGATACCTCATCAAAGTGAATGGCAGAGTTCCCTTGCTTAATGGGGTTTCCCTGAATCTCAGCTGCTGGCAGCTCTGATAGCTCAGCAGCCTGAGCTTCTTCAATTGCCAGACTTAGGGTTAAATCCTTTTTTGCTAGTAAACGCCTCTGTAATTTAAGGTCTCTAACTCCTCCTACAATTTGGTCCAGCAACATGTCTTCTAAGTAATCCCTAAATCCACAGTGTATGGCAGCTGATCTTAAAGCTGCCATATACTGGCTAACTGTCTCTCCTTCAGCCTGAACTCTCCTTCTAAAAGCTAGTCTCCTAGCTATTTGAGAGGGTTTGGGGGAGTAGTGGTTAGATAGAATTCCCTGCAACTCCTCCCAGGGAGTAGCCTTCACAGAGCGTGGGGACACTAATGCTGAGGCTGTATCAAAGACTGCAGCCCCACAGAAGCTTAGAAAATAAGATCTTTTCCTCAGGTCAGTGGCTTCTGTCAGGTCGATAGCATTCAGGAAACAGTCAAACCGGTTCATATACGATTCCCACGTCTCGCCCGTTGGTTGGTTGGAAGGGAGGGAATGCCGGGTTTGTGCCCATCTTGGAAACGGTGGTGCTGATTTCCTCAGCTGTGGAGGATTTAAATTCGCGCCTTTAAAAAGGCGCTCGTGTCTGTGCCTGTCAGGCAGCGTCAGACTCCCAGCTGGGAGTTTGAACTTCGCGCTCGTGGAGAGCGTCAGCGGCAGTGACGTATTCAGCTCTTGCGGCTTCGGCTCTTTTTGACAGTGACTGTGCTCAGCTGTCTTTGCCTGGTTGTCTCTTATCGCATCCCACCTTCGTCGCCAGTGTTGTAGAGCAGCGGCAATGACTGAGACAGACGCAGGCTCAAAGTTAACAGGCTTTATTCTTATTGAATAAAGGGTCGCCGCGGCTGCCGAGGCTAACTGGCAGTCAGCTGGCGTCGACAGCTGATACCGTTTGACAGCCCCTTTTATAGCCGGCTGTCAAACGGCATCAGCCAATGGGAGCGATCGGCGCTCCCGCGCTCAGGCGGCGGATCAGAGGGAGGACTTGTCAGTCAGCGGACACAGCACTTTGCAGCTAGTATCTTGTCGGTTTTGATACTCTTTCCTTCCATTATATGAAACAGAAGAAGTCTTAAACATAGTTAGATTAAATCTTTAGGATATCACACATCTTTTATTAAGGTGAAAACACAACCAAAAAGTTTTTACTCATTGTGTATATTGAGAGCCAATGTTATAAGTAGTTAAGGTGTTGGACTAGAGCCTGAGGAGATTTGGGTCAAGGATGTGATTGTGTGAAAAATTGGAGAAGGAAGTATAGCCTGTCTTGAGCTTTTGGAAGAGGAGAGGAGGGGAAGGAATACACACATACATACGTATAATATAATAAATGCTGTCTTTCCTAGTTGAACAGGGAATTATATCTATTTTGAGAGCTCCCATATCATCTGCAGGTAGCAGGTTTTAAGGCAGCACTGTAAAACTCCCAGCCCACTCCCAGTTTAGCGAAGGGGGAAAAAGTCCCAATACGTCACATGATGCAGCCATTATGACATGAGTTTGACACCCCTGCTTTGAGGAGTAACTCTTTTTTGGGAGGGAATGCTGAAATCTTAGAAATGAAAGTACATAGTTTCTACCTGCTTCCAGTGCACTTTTTTAACCATGAGGTGCGAACTAGTAGAGAACGGAATTGATAGGTTATGTGGTTTCCAAATGTTTATGGAAATCAAACACATTCAAATAAATGTGAATATTTTGCATATTCACCTGTCACAGCCTTATTGAATGTTTAATTCTGTGCAATCTTCATCATGCAAATGCCATCAGTAATTAAAGGATGTAGATACTTCAAAAACGTCTATTTCTTGATGATGCATTTTTTCATAGTGATTTACTTGTCTGATTTGATATCATTTAAGTAAGAAAAATTATAAAATATGTAATAATATCTAAAATTCCTTTTTTTAAAAAAAATGTCATTGTAGTATATAGTGGAATGTCATGGAAACACACTACTTCCACAGTTTTTGGGCATGTACCGGCTTACTGTTGATGGAATTGAAGTGTACATGATTGTTACAAGAAATGTATTCAGCCACCGTTTATCTGTTTATAGAAAATACGATTTAAAGGTAAGCACTTTTTTTCCTATAGGCATTATAGTAATTCTGTTAGTAGTTCTGCTGATAAAGGAGGAGGGAGGGAGGGAGGGAGGGAGGGAGGGAGGGAGGGAGGGAAGGAAGGAAGGAAGGAAGGAAGGAAGGAAGGAAGGAAGGAAGGAAGGAAGGAAGGAAGGAAGGAAGGAAGGTTCTATTAGATACTTTAAAGCTAGTAATTACAGTGCATTAAAACATTTCAACAAATAATCTTTCTGAGATGTGTTTATTAAAATAATATTTGCAGTTTATCCAGCAAAACCTTTTATGAAAATAACATAATGTGTGTTGTAAAGAGAAATACTAGCTGAAGTGGATAAAGAGGTGATTATGCAGTTGTTGTTTGAAGTCTGATTGTTCAAATTAGTTTATCATATCCTGCTTCATTTCCTTAGGCTTAGGCTTAGGAAGTGAGGTGGCTAGGGGCGAAAAAACCTTACACATGAGATTAATTGACTTCTGTCAACTAGCCTTCACAGTACTTTACTTTAAGCAGTTGATGCATGCTGTATTAGCAGAAGAAAATATTGTTTTACCATAAAACATTTTAAAAGATTTTCAGATTTGCTAAGAGAGACTGATATAACTGCAGATTACAGAATTCAGTTTATAGAATGTAAATTATCAATGTTTTATTGATCTACATTCTTTAAAAAAATATAATAATTAACCCTTTGCCTGGTTGTTCAAAAGTCAATATCAAGTTTATTTCACACCCTTGGATGTGAAAATGTGCCATTTTCTCACTTCAGTAGAATTTCTATCTCCCCGTCAACTATCAATGGGTAACAGTCTTAAGAATCATAAATATTTTAGCTTCTGGACCTATAAATATTATCCAAGTGGAAATCAAGGCCATTTCATTAGGTGTGGCCTAGAATTTACTAGTGAAAGTTTGCTATAAAGTTCCCAGAGGAAAACTAGGATATACAGGTAGTCCTTATCCTGCAACAATTTATTCAGCGACCATTCAAAGTTACAATGGCACTGAACAAATATTGATTATGATCAGCCCTCAAGAGTTCCAGATGTCCCAGCACCCCATGGTCATGATTGCTACCTGGGTGCTTGGCAACTGGTTTGCCCTCACATTTACAGCCAATTGTAGTGCCTGAGATCATATAGTCACCATTTGTAATTCTCCCTATTACTTACCTAGAATGTCAGTGGGGAAGCCAGCAGGGAAAGGGGTAAGTGTCCCCCATCCACACACCCTTCTCCAGCCCTTTTGCACTTGTGCCACGCCAGCCACTTTCACACCATTGCTCACTTTCCCCAACCACTTCCACACCATTGCTCATCAACCTAACTGCCGACACACTCTTCCTCCCTTACCTGCATCTTTTCTGCATACTGTCATGCTCTTGATTATTTGACCACAGTTGTTCCTTGATTAATGATCGTTCATTCAGAAACTTTTTGAAGTTGCTTGATAGTCAGTCTGCACTTATGACTAGTGGAACACTTCAGTTCATCCCACCTGCCAATCTCCCTCCCATCTCTGCCCTTTTGGCATTTCTGGCAGTAGTGGGACTGAAGGAGAGGCCCGGGCCATTAGTGATATGAACTGAAAGCCTGGGCTTCCACTTCAACCCTGGCACTGCTGGCACTGCCACCATCACTGAGGAGTGTTTTCTCTCGATCGCCATGAGATTAAGCCATGGCCAGCCATAGTACAAAGCTCCTGTCGCACCCAATGCCTCCATCATCTTCCTCCCGCTGCTGACAAGGCACAACCAGCCTGTCCCAAGGCAAGACAATAACTGGGTGCAGTAGGCCCTCTTCCCAAGGCAGCGTATGCCTTCTCCAAATCACATGGGCCTTGAGGTGCTTTGGAAAGGCGTGACATCATGCTCTATAACTGCATCGGTTAGCAGCGGAGGTTCTCGTCCCAGTTGCTATCGTTAACTAAGGACTACCTGTAGGAAAATGACAGTTTACCTTTTGAACTTTATTATGATGCTACTTGTGACAATATTAAATGAGAGCTAGGTGCTTCCCCCCCCCCCCCTTACTCTACATCTGATTTTGGTAACTGGTATAAGAGTAAAATATAATAGTATAACTTTTGGTAAATGTGTTACCATTTTAATTTTCACAGCTATAATTCTTTATTTTGAATTAGCATAAAACATTAAATTTCACTATCCTCTAATTGTGTCAATATTTTAAAATATTTGACACATATTTGGTTAATTGGTCGGTAACATTTTAGAATCATTTTTAAAAAAAATTAATACACACTATATATCACTTTGAAAGTAAGTTACAAGTGAATTATCCAGGGAGTGGGATAGTTGGGGGGTAGATACATGCTTACATAATGGATACATCTGTGCACATTATAAAACAAGGTGACAACTGTTTTATTAAAACCAATACTTTAAATTCCTTCCAGAGCTATAAGGAAAACCATGAAAACTCTCATATTTGAACAGGCTGAAATTTAAGAGATATCTATAGAAACAGGTTAATTAATGCATGTAATAGTTTATAAGAATTGTGTGTGACTTTTACCACAGCATTGCTAACCAGGGGACACTTCCTCTGTTGAAGAATGCTGACATGCTAGTAGCTGATGGACTTAGAATTAGTAAAAGAAAATAGTAATAGGACCAAGAAAATCCAAATCTCCATGAAGAGAATTTTCTTTTGTTATAATATTTTAATGTATGTTTGAATTTTATATTTGTTTATAATGCAATACCGTAAGTTTGAGGGACTGGAATGAGTCCTAGTAGGCTGATGGTGAAAACATTTCTATAAGTGTGTTATTCAGTGTTGTTCTAGTAACAAAATGTGCTATGTTTTTCTTCCAGGGCTCAACAGTAGCAAGAGAAGCTAGTGACAAAGAAAAGGTGGGGCAAAGTTATATTTATATACTTAGTCATCTGCCTTCAACTTGTAAGAAAGGGCAAATGTATGTTAATTGTGGATTATTCTTGGCAACCTTCTTAGGTGCAATTCTACAACTGCTTAACCAGCATGACACACTGATCTCAAATTAAAACCAAAACCATGTAAGGCTTCACTTATTGGTGGCAGAGAGCATCCAGTATGATTTTATTTTAATCAAATCTTATGTAATTTCATTAGACTATAACTTCAATTTTTTTCTAAGCTGCCTTAGAAACCTGCTGAAGAATGGAATATAAATAAATTATGCCAACTATTGTCAATGAAAGCATCATGATAATGTTGAGAATGGGAAAAATTTATTTAAAACTATATAGATCTGAAACGCCTCAGTTGTTTTGACAAAAGTATTAGAATTCGGAAGCTGTAAATTTAAAAAACACATGGAAATTTAATATGGAGAGGTCCCATTTTTACAGCAATGCTTGTCAATATTCTAAAGTTGACGTCTGAATTCTTCATTTAGAATAGTCTTCTTCAATCTCATTGCCTCCAGATGTTTGGATCACAAATTTTTGAATTCTTATCGAATATAACCTGAATTGTAATTCCAACACTACATGTTGGACAAGGCTGAGCTGACTATTGTTGAAGAACCAGTTAAATTAAATCCAAAAGTGATCACTTGTTTGTTAAAATAGAAACCCAAAATCAATTTCCTGTCGTGAGGCTGTCCAAGCTATCATGCGAATGGTTGTGGGAAATCATTACCAACTGAGTTACTTCTAGGAGTTTTCTTTATCTTGTGACACTTTGACAGTGATAATATTGACTTTATCAAAACATATATTTGAACATACTCACTTCTTGGCTTAGAGAAAAGTGATACGTTTCCACAATCATCAGATTCTGACAGCCAATGGTTTGATTTTTGCTTAATTTCTACAGCAACGTATACAGATTAAGCAAGAGTAATCTGGAGCATTTTGTGGTTGTCTGTCTCCTAGGAGTTCCAAAGTGTGAAGCAGATGGCTATAGTTATAGTGTACAGTTATTTATGGTTGATTATTGAATGTCTTGCTAGTGAGGGACTTGTGCTCTAACATATACCGCTATATCTTGGGTCCTTTACCTTTTCTGTTGTACCAAATATTAAACTCTTACTTAGATAGTATATTTTCATAGTTTCTTCCCCTACACTTTGCTTCTTTTATTGTACGAAATGTACACTAGTGTATATTAAAATATTTGTAATGCAATCATAGAATTAGAACAAGGAGTTAGGCCATCAAGTGCAAATCTTTTCTGAGAGTAAAAATTCAGATGAAAGTTTTGATAACAATAGCTTTTTACTAGTCACAGATTCTTCATAATCATTGCTTTGTTTTGATTGGATTTAGCATTTTAGCCATCTTATGATAAGTTGTTATAAGAATTACTTAAAAAACAAATATTTTTATGGTCACTTATCAAAAGATATTCACAATATTCCCTTAATGTTTTGATTCATAATTACATCACTCTTATTTTTTTATCTTCTTTGCCTACAGTGCAGCTTTTTTCCACAAAACTGTGTACTAGAAAATAATGCAATTATGTTATGAATAATTATAAAATAAATAATATTGTCCTGCTTAGGAGTCATAATATTTATTATCCCTAAGCAAGACATAAAAGCAGTTTAACAACTCCTGACTTTGAATCTTTCATTAACCTTTGTTGCATCTTCTTATCATAATAAATTGGGGAGAACTTAAGCCTCAGATCTTCTTCTAAGCTTCTGATAGCACACATTTTAGCAGCACATCTGAACAGGATTGCCTGGTTTGTTACTTGTAGGATATTTTATCAGTGATGTATTTGGAACCTTTTTTTGCTTGTTCCTGCCATGCAAAACAGGTTTTAATGTTTACACTATCAGCTATCAACTATTATTTAATTAATAAATAGATAAGTGTATAAAACATTGACTTTATAGATCCAAATGTTTTGTAGCTTAATAATGTAAGTAAATGAAAACACACATGGGCTGTGTTAATGAAAGAAGAAAATAAGATGCTAATGTATTTGTTTTTACTTTATGTTAGAAAATGTACCCTATATTCTGGTGCTGTAGCTCTGTAATGCCCCCTGGTGGCTGTTATTTCGCATTTTGATGTCTGTGCATGATTAGTTATGCTCTGCTCGGACCATTGACATTTCATTATTTTGTTGCCTTTATTGTTTTGAAATGACTTTTGTTTATTTGTCTGTCTTAGGCCAAAGAACTGCCAACATTTAAAGACAATGACTTCATTAATGATGGTCAAAAAATTTACATTAATGAAGCCAACAAAAAGATGTTCCTTGAAAAGCTGAAAAAAGATGTTGAGGTAAGAATTCTAGACAAAGGCACTATCCTTGCCAGACACACTTACTTATACGGTTGTACCACCTAACTGATATGGCTGTTAACTAAAATATTTCAATATGTTCCTGTAAAGATACATTCAATATATGTGTATTCCCGGAAAAATGGCTTTGGACCGCATCTCTCTCTGGTTGTTCATTAAAAGCAGCCACAATATTGTGGCTCAATGAAAACTAGAAAAAGGCAGCCTGCTTTCATGAATATTAAAACTATGTAATGAATCAGGCAAGACAGAATTGATACCAAAAAGTAGGCACATCTCTCATATCCATGAGTGACAGAAATGAAGCCGAAGGACCTTTGCTGTCTGCACTGTCTAGGATTTACCACGTTGGTTTAAAACAAGCTAGTAATAAACAATAAAGCCCTGCCTTTGGTCAAAAGCTTCACATCTCAAGATGAGATTGATAATTTTGATTTAAATGCTGCTTTGTTCCCTGAAATATAAAATGATTACTCCCTTATGAAAAGGTGTAACATTCTAAGATGTTATCACTATGAAATAGTAATTCTGCCTCTTCTGTTCTTAAATAACTGAATATTCCTGGTATTTTACTTTGAATTGTTAATTTGCACTATGAATATTTGGTGATGTGACTGTGAAACATGGATCAAATTGTTTTTCCACTGTTCAAATCTAGTGGGTTCTTAAATGATCAGCTTTTGGTGATTAGTGCAGCATTCAAGCATATAAGAGCCATGGTGACACAGTGGTTAGAATGCAGTACTGCAGACTAACTCATATCCCCTTCAGGAGTTTGATTCTGAGCAGCTTAAGGTTGACTCAATCTTCCATCCTTCCAAGATTGGTAAAATGTGGACCCAAATTGTTGGAGGCAATGTGCTAACTCTGTAAACCACTTAGGGTTGTAAAGGGCTGTAAAGCACTTATGTCTTAAGTGCTGTTGCTATACCTTAAAATCCCTATAGAAATATTATATTTGTATGTAAGCAATTACTGTAAGATAGTTTAGATTCTCAAGTTGATAAAGAAAGATTAGAAATGCATCATAATTTATTTTATATTCATAATATTTTTAAAAAAATGTTTTGCTAAGAATTAGATCAGTAACTTTGCTCCTGCAAAAGATTGTGCTTTCCCATCAATTACATTTCAGTTTTAATGCATTTTATATTTCACACTGACTATATATTTTATTTTTTAGTGATTTTCCTCAGTCTGGTATGGTCCTGATATGTTAAGACTTCAGTTCCTATAATGCCTTGCCAATTTGTGATGAAAGCTGGGGATGATGAGAAGTCTGAGTTGAGCAATAAATCTCAAAAATCATAGTGTTGTTTCTTTTTATGGGAAGAGATGCATTTTCTGGAGCTGTCTGATTATTCACTTAGTTTTCTGTTTTCCTTCTGCTGTGCTCTAACTAATCAATATGCTTTCATTTTTTTAATGTATAGATAGGTTGTATATCAACATTCCTCTTAGAAAGCTGGGGAGGAAGTAAATATGATACTGTTCCAGTCTTTCTTTCAGGATTGACTTTCAGGGCCCAAGTAAGCCTGATATTTTTCATGTGACTTTCTGTGGCTGGTACTTTTAACAGATAGCTGATATGGAAGGGAAGGAATCAAAATTGGATCAGGGCTATAGCAAAGAATTGTGTCCATCACATATACAATTTATTTCATTTGTATCTGCTACCAAAATGAATTGAAACATGGGGCCTTAGTATACCGGCAGTTCTTGAGATATGACTGGTCACTTAATGAATGTTCAGTTACAACAGACACTCCAAAATTACATAATCTCTATTTCAAAGTTACAAAGGTTGCAGTGGTCCTGTGGTCATTGACCATTAAAACTGACCACAGCAATGCTACAGTACCCTCTACCTCTGTCCCCATCCCACCCTGCCATCACAGTGCTTGGGCCTGTTCCTCACACGTCCATCACCCATCGCACTTACCATTTGGAGCTCTCTGAACCTCATTTTGGGGATAGACAACTGGCCACATGTCCTACTCTCCTCCCTTGTAGCAGGCTCCATTGGTCTTGCCTTCTCTCTTCTCTCCATTTTCTGGGATTAGGAGGGGGGGTGCTCCTTGCTCTTCGCCTGAGCTCTGTCTCTCCTGCTCCTGTCTGTCTGCAAGCCTTTCTAATTCAGAAAAGCCTTGCCCGGATTGACTCTGCCCTTTCCCAGTTCCTCCAAGGCCAATGGAGCTACCCTCTCGATCTCTGTCAGCTCTTGTTCCAGCTCATCTTCCCCCACAGATTCAGACTCCAACAAGGGCATGACGATAAGTGAGGAGGGTGCTTATTCTGGTCAGGTGGGAGTCAGGCCTGAGGCCCACCTGACCTGGTGGGAGTGGGAAAAGGCCTGTGGAGATCCAAGGGTTGGGTAGTAGAGCACAGGGCATCTCAGGGAGTGAAGGAGGCTTTGAGAGGGCCATGGCATGTGGGCCTAGGTCTCTACTAGACTTCCAAGGGCCTCTTATACCCCTGAGGCACCCAATTCTTCACTTAATGGCCCAGGCATTCATTTAATGATTCATTGGGGAAAGCAGAGATGAGGGGGTCATTAGATGAAATATTTCATCTAACAATTATTGTGACATGCAACCATAATGGGCAGATCCATTATGGACATATCTTGAGGACTACTTGTGATGGAGACTTCAACATTGGCAAATATGGATTGTGGAAACAGAAATCCTGCAGGTTTGGGCATACATCAGATTCAGCTGCTTTAACTTTATTGTTATATCTTGAAATACTTTTTGCATTTTTCATTAAACCCCATTTTTTTATTTTCACTTGAACAAATCTATGCTAGTAGAAACTAGCATTTGATGCAGTAAAGATATCACTTTCTGATAGATAATAGATTCCTTTTTTCTTGTTATTGCTGTGTAGTTCCTTGCTCAATTAAAACTCATGGATTACAGCTTGCTGGTTGGAATTCATGATGTTGAACGAGCCGAGCAAGAGGAAGTAGAATGTGAAGAGAATGAGGAAGAGGAAGGAGAAAGTGATGGGACTCACCCAGTTGGAACACCTCCAGATAGCCCAGGAAATACACTGAACAGTTTGCAGCCTTTAGCCCCAGGAGAATTTGATCCAACCATTGATGTTTATGGTATAAAATGCCATGAAAGTAAGTGGCTTTGCTATAAATTCTTAGACGTGAAGGGCATTAGGGTTTCTGTGCAATCTCTAAGTTTTAAAAAAAATGGATCAAAAATATGCTTTATGGAGTTTCTTATTCACCCTAGTAGTTAACACTAGGTTAACTAAACTGAAACTAACAGTATACAAAATTATGGGTAGTCTGTGGCACAGTGTACAGCAATTTAACTTTGTATTTATATATTTCTACATATGCTTATCACACAGTGCATCTCAAAGCGAGTACAGAATTAATAACACATTAGAGTACAATAAAATGTATAGTAAATAATAGTAATAAATTTATAGACAGTAAATACAGCAGCTAAAGTGCTCTGGAACTTTAGAATTCAAACAGGCACCTGTCACATAATATCCCAGACTTAACTGGGATATTATGTGACAGTCAATGAGAAAGACAAGGTCTGGATGGGACAGTACCTGGATGAAGCAGGAGAGAAAAAAACTGAAGGAAATCAGAAAATGCAAAGATCTGCAAATAGAGTAGAATCACTGGAGCAAAAGAAAGCAAAAATAGCATCAATAGTAATTGGAACCTTAAGTGCAATTTCAAAAGATCTAGAGCACAGGTCCCCACTCCCAGACCTACAAACCGGTCCCGGTCTGTGGTCTGTTAGGAACTGGATCATACAGGTAGAGGTGAGCAGAGGGCAAGTGAGCAAAATCAAAACCATCCGTGAAAAAATTGTCTTCTACGAAACCTGTCCCTGATGCCAAAAAAGTTGAGGATGAGTGATCTAGAGCAGGGATCCCCAACCTTTTCGACGCCGCGGCCCGGTTCCGGCATCAGCTGGGCGCCGCGGCCCAGTACCGGCGCCAACTGGGCGCCGCCATCTTTTTATGACGAAAAGGCGCTTCCAGTGACGTCACCGGAAGCGCTGTTTCATCAAAAAAGATGGCGGCGCCCAGCAACCAGCGGCCCGGTAAGGCTTGTTCCGCGGCCCGGTACCGGTCCGCGGACCGGCGGTGGGGACCCCTGATCTAGAGCACCACTTGTATACCATCAGCACTGACAAATTCATCATCAGTCAATTACAAAAGGCAGCTTTATACAGAATAGTTTACATTCCACAGCAATATCTCTAATACCATCAAATATCTACATCTCTCTATCTAAGGGCAGGACTCAATAGAGGGATAAAAATGCCAAATCCAATTTGAACATCTGGCTGACTGTGGACAGTAAAACAATAAATATTATAAAACACAATAAAATAAAATACAAGCGCATAAAATCTACAGTTCATAATAATGTTATTTAGTTATTCCATCATAAACATCCATATTTGAAGGTAAATAGAATATTTTCTGCAGCTGAGGGATATGAAAAAGTTGAAAAATGCCTAATTAGTACTTTTATATTACTTAGAAAATTTATTTACTAAACAATACTGTTTTCAATATTGTCAAATAAACCACAGCTATTGATGTGGGTGGATAGTAACAAAAAGTAAGACTGTTTTGGCATATTTCCCAAAAATTTCAGTCTTTTCAGCAGAAAAGAAGCTCAATTCTATATTCCAGAGCAGCACAAACCTATTTCTATTATCATTGTTTAGAATTGTTTCTATTTTTCTAAAGAGCCGCAGTGGCTCAGGGGTTAAAATGCAATACTGCAGGATAGTTCTGCTGACTGCCAGCTGACTGCAATTTGGCAGTTCAAATCTCACCAGGCTCAACATTGATTGAGCTTTCCATTCTTCTGAGTGGGTAAAATAAGGAACCAGATTGTGGGGGCAATATGCTGACTCTATAAACCGCTTAGAGAGGGCTGTAAAGCGATATATAATTCTAAGTGCTATTGCTATTTTCTTTTCTTTAGAAAATAAAAATAGAAAAAATTGTTCTAAACAATGATAATAGAAATGGGTTTGTGTTGATCACCTGATCTATGTTCATATAGCATTTCAAAATTGGCAGTAGATTTAACCCAAGTGCTGAAAGTACTTAAAAATAGATGCAGACATTATCATTTGGAGTTGTATATTAAAGCAACATAAATAGCCTCTTTCTGTTTTTCATTAAATCTTTGCTCCATAGTCAATATATTTGTGATAGTCATACTCAGAAGCAATCTATTTAACTTTGTTGAAACTTTCTTCCAATTATGATTGCAGATTAATTGTAAAATTCAAAAGAGTTCTGCAAATTGAGACAAGTATGGTACATCATATATACATCCAATCTTCACATTCTTAATCTCTGACACTGCTTAAACATGTAGTTGTGTGCTCCCACTTCTTTCAGTCCCATGCTCCAACAGTCTCATTTTCTTTAACAGATGGGTCAGAACTGAACCCTCATAAATGTGATAATTTTTAACAAAATAAAGGATTTCTAACCATATTTTAAAGGAAGCTGACTTAACAAAAAAAAACCTGTCTTTGGAAAAGAATGGGCAACTTTTTAAAATTTTGGCTCCATAGTGCTTAGCATTTAAAATATTGAAACATTATATATGCATTAACTTATTACTCTTTAGGAGCCAGTATGGAGTAGTAGATAAGGCATCAGATTAAAAATCAGGAGATTTGAGTTTTAGTCCCACTTTAGGCACATAACCAGGATAACGTGGTGCCAACCACTCTTTCTCAGTCCTAGAAAGCAAGCAAGGGCAAATCACTTCCAAAATCTTTCCAAGAAAACACCAGGGGATTGTTTCTTGGAGAAGAACACTGGCTCAAATCCACACATAAGTATATACTTCTCTTTATGTCAGGTCTGTAAGACACAATATATATGTGAAACTGGTAATTCATTCAGGTACGTTATTCAAAATGCATGCTAGATCTACAAAATTGGAGGCAGGGAGGATTATTGAAATCATCTAGAATAACGTTCACCCAGTGTATGAATTCACTATTGCAGCATTTGTAAAGTTGGCCATCCAGCTTCTGTTTAAACATCTCCAGCCAAAGGAAGTTACCTACATCCTGAATAGCCTTCTCCATATTGGACATATTGTCGCATTAGGAAATTTCTCCAGATGTCCAGCTAACATTAAAATCCACTGTTTCTTTTCCTGTCTTCTGGAACAGCTCTGAACAATTCTTCCATCTTGTACATGAGAGAGCCCTTCAGATATATGAAGACAGCTGTCCTATATCCCTACAGTCTTTTCTTCAGACTAAACATACCTAACTTCTCCAAATGTTTCTCAGGTTTTTCCTTCTGGTACCTTATCATCTTAGTATACTTTGCAGTCAGGAGTGTGTTATCTGATTTTAAACTTTTAGGAACTCGTATCTTAGTTGTCTTCTATCGCACCTGTGCAATATAAACATTTATTGATGGAATGTGCACAGATTTTCTTGCAGTTTAAGGTTAAGTTTTAATCTTATAAGCCACCTAGAGTCACATGTGTGAGATGTGTGGCTATATAAATCAAACAAATAAAGTAGAATAAAAACAGCCGGATTCTACCTGCCTTTTATAGCCAATTTTAAATGGCTAAAACACAGCTGATTTTAAGAGGTTTAATAAAATGTATCATATTTGAACTCATCCCCCAACCCAGTAACATATCATCACAATACTCTCTATTGTCAGAATTGAAGTACTTTTGTCCAGACTGATTATGTGGGTTCAAATTCAAAGTGTGAATTTGTTGAAGCGATTATCTCAATTTATAATTATTTATTTAACAATCTCCTGTGGTACGGTTTAATTTTATTTCCCCATCTCTTCCCCACTCCCTTCCCCTCAGATGCAGCTAGAAAAGAGGTATACTTCATGGCTATTATTGACATTCTTACTCATTACGATGCCAAAAAGAAAGCTGCCCATGCTGCAAAAACTGTGAAACATGGGGTGAGTAGGCCTCCGTTGCACTGTCCTGTCAAGGAGTTTCAGGGGTTGGGCTGTTAAAGGGTTTTCAGATTAAGATGATTATATTCCCCTGGCTCTCTTTATTTGAGGGCCTGTCTACAATGAGGAGTGATCAGATGTGAGAAATGTTACTACTTTGTCTCACAAAGCAGTCATAAAAGTGTGGCTCAGTTAACTTTAGAAATTGGTTGTTGAGTGAGATTGAACCATTTTCAAATTACATGGCCTTCTGAAGGGATTTTCTCTTTTACTTATGAGACTCCTAAGGTGATTATAAACCCTAAATAAATTCTAGAAATAGTCTGAAGATCTGTAAAGTAGAATCTTCCTTGCAGAACAGAGAAGGCAGTTTTCATTGGTTCAAGAATCACCCCAACTTTTGAAAAACACATTGAAGACTACTTTCAAACTTTTCTCAAAGGGTGGGCTAGGATCTATGTGGGGAGTCTGGAGGTCTGGGTTTTATTAAAAGGTTAAAAAAAAGTAATTTAAATCCCCACATAGTTTATGATACTATTTTCATCCTGCCCTCTTCAGGGCACCATATACTTTTTATATCCCAGTACCAAATCATACTTTTAAAATTCTGTGTACTCTAAATGGGTATGCTTTATTATATGACAGCACTTTATTCACATAAAAGTGCAATTACATTAGAATAAGATAAAAGATTGGAATAAATAGATCTTGAATGAATGTTTGCTTCCTTCAATTTCTCTGGTATTTTACCTAATAAAAGTATCTGAGAAGATTCTAGCTCAGCCTCCTCCTTTCATTTCCTTTCTTCTCCCCTTCCTTCCCTCCCCTCCTTCCTTTCCTCTCCCCTAGATAAACACCCTTCCTAACAAATCTGCTATTTGCTATTCCTTATTATCTTTATTTTCAATGAATGTCTTAAGGTTAATAGCATTAAAAACGTTCTTTGAAATAAAGAGTATATTTGAGATACATGCTAGTTTTTCAATTTTTTTTAAAAAAATAGACTGAAATAGACTGAAAAATAAAATTGGACAGATCATGGAGCCTCCGGGCATAAAGGAATGTATATTTAGACAATCTTCTCCTATCCTAATTTGGGAATTGGAATAGCTGAGCATAAATGAACAACACCAGATTGGGAAATACAGATGTAAGATGCCCTAAACTTTTAAATTTAATTTGTGTCTCATCATCATCTTCTGGTTTTACAGGCTGGTGCAGAGATTTCAACAGTTAATCCTGAACAGTATTCAAAACGATTCTTGGACTTTATTGCCAACATCTTAACGTAACCTAAATGCTCTTTTGGACAGTATAAAGTCTGGAAGAAGCAGCAAATTGCTACAAGTGTGTAAGGGGTCTTTAAGAAAGCTTCTTTTAAAAGGAACTCGTTCTCTCTTGCAAAAGGCAGCCCGTACCCCGCCCTACCCATTTACATCTGCTGGCAAAGATGACTTATTGGGGTGAAATATTTGCTTTTACAGCTGCCTGATTATGCCCAGCATAGTTTTAGCTATTTCTGACGTGTGTGTGTGTGTGTGTGTGTGTGTGAGATTGTATGTGTGTGTGAGTGTGCAAAAATGGATATAAATTAACTAATAATAACTAAAATAGATAGCTCCTACTCAATGTGCATTGCAACATCTCTCTTTGGATATTAGCTGAAATGGGATGAATGGGGAAAAAGGATATTGTGGAAAGGGAAGGAAAATCTATGTGCATGTTGGGACCTACAATATTGGAATCAGAACTGTAAACTGTGGATCAGTTTAAAATTTGAACTGAAAGATGCAAGATAATATTGGTGGTAATTATGACTCTTATTGTGAATGTTACACTTAACAAACCTGCATGTTTGCACTCCTTAAGAATAACCCCCATTTGCTGGAAGCTTTTCCTCTTGGCAGTTTTTTTTAACCTATATTACTAAGTAAGCCCATTGAGACAGGAAAGAGTCTTCCAGCAACACAGAAGTTTGGCTCTTGTTTTATTAAATTCTGATGCCATAATAATTCTGTGTACTTGCCAAGGGAAGACTCATTTTGAGGATCAGGGTAGGCGAAATATAGACTGTTTAATTGTCTTGTAACATGGAGATTTTGCATTGTATGTTTATCATATAGAAACTGAGTATAGTATAAAGAAAATCAAATAGCTTTTTAGAAAAAATGTTAGGGATAATAATGGCATTTTTCCCACATGAACAAAGGTGTAGAAAGGTTTGCTCATCTGTAAGAGATCAAAAGAAGACATCAAATGCTTACATGTGCTGTTTTTAAAATATTTTATTAAAATATTCTTTTCTAAGCCCTATATTTTATTGTTTACATTGAAAGGAAAACAGGGATGCTCTTGAGTTGGTTAGAGAATCTGAAGTTTACATGTAAAGTTACTTTGCAGTACAGATAAAGTAATTTCTTGAACTGTAACATGCAGTAATGTATCAGAGCAGATATTTTATTCACCCTTGTGATAGAATCTTTTTTTTAAGTGCTATTTTAATTATATTAATTTAGCTTTCTCTCTCTCTCTCTCTCTCTCTCTCTATCTATCTATCTATCTAAATTATATTGTTTAAATGATTGCCTAAAACTCTGCTATTCCCTACAATCTGCTTGTTTTATTTTTGGAGGTTTTGAAAAGGACAGAATTAGAGAAGTTCAAATTATATTCTGTATGTATGCAATGTGCAAAAACAATGTGCCTTTTAAAATTCTTTGTTTAAGTAGACATTCATAGGCAATTTTTAAGAAGAAATCACACCCTGCAATTTATAATTTTATTCCTGGAGTGCCGGATTGCCTTCTCTATTAATATAATGACAGTACAGCTACAAATTCAAGACATATTATGTTAACTAGAAAAATTCTGATAAAATAATAACTGGTCTTGCAAGTCTTATGTGGTCAAGAGCAATATCATCTCTATTAAAAGCTGTGGGTTATTTTTTAGAAAGGTTTTATTACCTTTTTAAAATATCTCTCAATAGGTTTTCTTTTTTTTCCATAATAATGCTTAAAAATTAATAAAATAACTTTTAAAATAACTAATCCTATTCTTCCTCCTGATGCCTCATATTTAGTCCAGAAAAGAGTTGAGGACATTTCAAAGCTAGATATGTGTTTGTGTGTTCATGCAAAAGCAAATTACGCAGGCTTTTAAGACCAATTCCAATGGGAATTTTATTAATTGAGCTAATTAGAACTGAGGGGAACCTAGTATTAATATACATAATATATATATGCTAAAGGCATTGAATTATCTTGTTAGAATCTGTAAAGACACTGGAAGAGATCCCTGGCTGATCCTGTGGAGATCACTGGGACCGGCCAGTGTAGATAACATTCAACTACTCTAGGATACATGGTATATTTAGGCAAAAAAGAATTTTTTTCCTTTAAAATACCAACAAAAATGCTGCTGTCTCATTTCACTGCTCGGGTACTTCGCAACAAGCCATATAAACTATCAGTTACTGCATGAGAAAAGAGGCATTGTTTATATTTGCTCCACACAGCCTGTGTTGTTCTTTTCCTTTTATATAGTTATAAATGTCTACAATTGGTTGGTTTTTGTTGCCTAACGCTGTTGCTAATTTCATATTTTAATATATGTCAGCTGTGGCACATCTGAATAGTATATGCCTTTCCTTAACAATTTTAATTTTATTTGGTGTTTCAGAATATAAGTGCTGTTTTAGGTTTTAATAATCTATTCATGAACATGATACTCAAAATCGTGTCCTTTGGTTTTAGATAACATGGCAAAAGTTTTGAGTTAGGGTAAAATGAATAGTGGTTAATAATTGATTTGAAGGGATAGAGGACGCATATATATTATTCCTAAATATCACACCTATTTTAGAAACTCCTTTGAACATATTGCTTGGGCTCCAGTTTGTTTTTATAACATTCATGCCTTTAAACTTTTTATTCTTTATAAATGAACTCCAAATTTCCACAGGGAAGATATTGTTTAGTGTTTTATAGACCAACTATGTCCCAGTTGATACATGGCCACTAAATGAAGTGGTACCTCTATTCTTATATGAAGTTCTACTGGTTCAATTGGATATGTAATGTAATTGGATGGACAGTCACCATAAATGCTACTACCATGGGTGACTTTTCAGGATTATTAATAAATGTAACTAATTTTATTGCATTACAGATTGTATTTTCTCACTTATGTTATTCTATGTCAGAGGTCTCCAAACTTGGTGACTTAAAGACTTGTGGACTTGAATTCCACAAGTCTTTAAGGTTGCCAAGTTTGGGGATCCCTGTTCTATACAATCCTAGGCTCTTCAAATAAGGCTCCCTGACATTATGGGCATATATGCTGCTTTGAGCTTCAGTACAGATTAAAGTGATAGATGTAGTTCTCTAAATGACAAATGCTCCCAGTACTAGTTCCTTTTTGCATTTCCTCTTAAATTAATATACGAAAATAAGATCTGCACATTTCCTTAAGGCCAATATGCAAAAAGTGGAGCCAAAGGTATTGGATCTTTTTATTTTATTGCATTTTTTGTCTAATTTTGCAATTTCAAGGGTAATCTGCAGGGTTTAAGATATCCATTTCATCCTTTAAAAATTCTGAATGCCCATCTGGATTTCAACTCCACACACATTACTAGTCTATCTCCTAACATGGCACATAAAGTGTGATGCAGTTCTTGGGGAACATGCATGTTCATATTTCCAAATGTTACCTTCATTTTGTTTCTTTTCTGTATGACAAACACGGTATGTCTTTCAGTTTTCATCCCCACCCCCACCTTGATTATTTTTCTGCTATATTTTTTTAAAGGCAGGATAGGTTTTGTGAGAGCATCATTCCCCTAAAAGAAGAGTGTTCATTCTGCTTCATTTGTAATAGTCATCATTTCTCCAGGCTATTTCTACCTGACTGGTTAATTATTATACTTATCCCCAGTTCTGTAGTTGGATGTCTCCTTTTATCAATAAGATAAAACAATGTTCTTCATAAGTAGCAAAACTTTTTAAAAAGGTTTAAATATGTAAATAATCTACAAATATGGATATTGCTCCTCTTTGAATGCATGGCATTCTCAATAGTTCCTATTGTTTCTTGGGAGCTTATATTTTAACTTTGCCACAACCTCTCTCTCTTTTAAACATTTGGGTATATTGATGTATTATATTGCTTTGTCATTTTATAACCAGGGCACTTAACCCTAATTTCTAATTTCTTCCAAGTTTCAGTTGTTTTTCACTCTGACTGCCATCTGTAATGGAATTCTTATCTTCTGTCCTATTGTTATCACAAAGAAAGGTAGCCTTTTTTTCCTTTTGCACTGCTCAGTTTGGTTAACCTATTCCAGGAATTCTATTGTCCTTGATTGAGCTCCATTTTCCTAATAATTTATTGCAGATGTCCAGGTGTGATTGAACCAATTAATGGTTTAATACTATGGATCATCCATCAGGTAAATTCCAAAATGGTTAAACCATTGCTTTGCTAATTGAATACTGTTTCATTTAATTTTCAACCCAGTTTCTTGTTTAATGAAGTCTCCATCCTCAGAATATCATATGGAATGTCAGAAGACTTAGTCTGAAAATGTCATGGTTGCAAATTGCAATAGCACTGCTTTGGCGATACTATTAACTAGACACTCCCAAAATAACTCAGTGTGCAAAGTGCCTATTACTATTGATAGTTTTTCTATTCTCACCTTTATTCTCCTGTCCCAGTTTCTTCATCAAACTTCATCATTCATGACTGCAGATTCCCATTTAATATTTCAATTTTTTCCTAAAATTCCCAGTGTTTATTTAGTTTTGAATAAGTTCAAGTTCAAATAAGTTCAATAAGTTTTGATGTTCTTTAAACAATAATTACCTGTAAATAGAATGGACAATATGTCCTCCATAATTTAGAAATCATTAGCAAAAGTACTTTGGAGAATGAAAGTAGCATCATTTTGTATCTACCATTGGATCCCAGGAAAATGCATGGCTGTTTTAAAGAGCTGCTCACAGGGAGTATGTTTGTGCAACAGCATGGTTAGAATAATTTCTTTGGATCTAAGCAGACTCCAGATAAATAGCTTTAATATTCCCTTTGTTTGATTGCAAAAACTTGGTTTATGTGTTATACCAAACAAAATGTGATTGTTTGACTTTATGAACCCACTTGATGTTTGTAAAGCATATTTTATGACTTAATATTTGGGTGGATTCAACCAATAAATTACCCCATCCAATAGTGGCCACTGTAGTTCTAATCTTGGAACTGACACTGGCAATATCCATCCAAATTTAAGTGCAACCTTCAATTATGTTAGAGATGTATAATGAGTCAATAAATTGCAAGCTTTCCTATTCTGAATACAATATGGAAAAATATGAGTGTGTTTAATTCAAGCTTCTGCATTCTGATTTATTGAGAGCCGTGTCTATCCATGATAGAGCAACCAATTCCATTTGTAATGGTGTCTGCTATTTATTTCTCTTTGTCTTATGGGCCCATTTATTGTGAATTATGTTGGTTTCACATGTTAGTATTTACAAATTGTCACATGTTGATTTTATACAAAAATGAGCTTTTAGTTTGTTCAATTAAAGAGAATAATTTTTGCTGTTGTAACATACCTTATATAGAAACTTAAGCTAGCATATTTTAATATATCATTACTATCAAACAGCTCATTGCAAATCACACTACCCTTTTAATAGTTAGATTCAAGTTACAAAGGTTACTGGATTTGAAGTTCATAATTTCTTGGGACTCTTAACACAGTTCTTTTAAAACATTTTGTTGATTAATACTCAACCATGTTGGGAATCCATATGTTGATACATTTATTATAAATTACATAATTGATAGAAAATTTTATTTTACCAGATAGGTTATTGATAGAACATTTTATTTCACCAGATAGGTTATTTATAAGTGAATATATCACTCTGATTCGATTCTGTGTATTTTTAAGTTTAATAAACAATTCTGAAAAGGAATCTGAAATTTAAAACTTGAGTAATATGCTCTACAGTAGATCTAATGAATGGTAGACCCTAGCATAGTTTCTTTTAGCAACAGTGAAAATATATGAGCCAGGCTTCCTATTACTTTTAACATTTATTCAATGTAGCACAATTATTAGAAGACAGGAGTGAGATATATTTGGATAACAGAATATGCTAGGAATGCTACTCTGTACATTAGGCATACCTAGGTTTTTCTTATGATCCCAGTATACCTGTTTCAAGATGTCTCCTTCTAGAATCGGATTGGTTCTAAATTGTACCATTATGTTATCCTCCTGGTGATGTTAATAGTACTGTAATGTATGTGTAGAACTCTGTATTTTTCTGTATTAAGTTGATAACTGGCTTCAGTTTTTTATTCCTTCTCTCATCCATGGAAAACTCCTGATCAATTTTGTATGAATGTTATATTTCTTACAATATACAGTGGCTTCTAAGTTTAATGAGACTACAAGAATATTTCTGGGAGAACATGTTACATTAAAGAATTACAATTCCATTATGGCCAATTACCATATGTGTTTAATCAAATAAGTTCAGCACCCTTTTCTGTCTGTAATTGTCTTTGCCATTCATTATCTGTTAAACTGTTTGGAGAGGTGAGGAAGTTTTACATTGTATCACCTATCTCTAAAAATACACTCTAGATATGAATAAAGCTTTATAAAATAAAGCACTTTTGATTTGCTAGGAAACTCTGTCTCTCCTTGTGTTTGTATCCTTCGGACATTTATGTAGCAAATCCACAATAGCCAAATTCTCATTGATTTACAGTTGATGGAACATCTTCCCTAAACTTTGATCTTAAATGTATTTTATAATACACCATAATACTTATGTCAACTTGAAAGTGGGGACTATTCAAAGTTCATGATGGCAAATTGAGAGAAGATTGTTTATGGCCTTCCACTTTGTTGGAGAATGGAACTTGAAGGTAACTTACTAAGAAGAAGGGATACCTTTCTATGGAAATGGAATTATGTGTCATTATGAAAATGTGCATATAAAGGTTTAGTTGCACAATGCAATTCTGTTAAAATGGTCTTAATGATCTTATAATGGTTGGTCCTAATGATCTTATAAACATGTACAGCTAGATTGAAAAAGTTTGTTTAAAAAGTTTGTTTAAAAAAATACTAGGAAAGTATTCCTAGGAAAATATTAAAATCCCCCAAGTTGAAAGATACACATCAGAGAGGGTTAGTGATAAGATGTTTAAAGCCATCTCCATTCTAAATACATGACATGAAAACAAAATCTGCCCCAAAGCAAAGGATGGAATTCTGATCAAGGCTATAACAGTAAGTCTATATAAAACTCACCTGTATCTCATTCCATTTTTCCTTTGGAGAACAGTTATTTATGAAATGCCATATATTTGCATAAAATGTTAGTCCCACTTGGATGCTTGGTTTAGTCTTATTTTTATCCATTTTTACTTGTCTCTCACATTTCCTCCTTCATTTAAATCTTATTTCACAGACCAAGAACAACAGATAAAGATGGGAATGGAACAATAATTCCAGTAGTATTTTTTTTCTACAATGACTAATGAATATATTACCCCCATATTTGTAGTCTTTGCATTTTCCTAATAGAGAAAAAAGTTGCTACCGACTCCATAGGAGGAACTGTTGTGCTTTTCTTATATTCCCCATGGATATCATCAGAATCAAAAATGATAGAAGTTAATATGTTCTTAATCAGCAGCCAGGTGCCATGGGTAACTCCAGGAACCAGTTGCCAATAATTCTGCTATCCAGTCATCTATAAAAAAAAATACTGGTGTATTATATTCCAAATATTATCCCTTCATGTGAATGTGGTTCTCTAGTAGCTAAAGACCTACAGCTCAGAGCACTGAAACTGTCAGGATGACTATGATCAATGTATCAGCCACATGTTTCCATCTCTCTGGCTTTTCAGATTAGCCCACCTTATGAAGAGAATGAATTTGCCACTTAAAATTAAAAGTCAGGAATTCATTATAATTTCCAAATGCCTATCATTACCAGATGCCTATAAATAATGTTTAAGCAACATGTTTTTAAAAATGCAGTTCCTCTGCATTCATGATTTTCTTTGAATTGATTTTAAAACACCAATTCCCCCATTTGGTTAAGAAAAATATCTGAGAATTTCTTTTAAGTAGTCAAGAAAGATCAGTAATACCTTAAAAGAAAATACTATTTCCTACAATGCATGCAGTACTGGATAAATCTGGTAATTAGCGGTAGCTTACATCGCTTTCAAAATGGGTAAAATAGTTCTAAATGGGAACCTAAGGATTGGATGGAATGTTGCGGGTCTATAGCAATATAATTCTGAACACCAATGTTAGCTACCTGCAACAGAACAGCTATGAAGAATGAGGTCCAACAAGTATTATTAAACATATAACTGGTGGTGCTGGAAGGTTCAGCAATTCTTGTGCTACAATTCCCTATTTTTTCCTCTAGAAAAGAACTACTAACTGGAAAACTCTGTGGACTGCTCTTGTTTGGGTTCTTTTGTTTAGCACAGGATATTGGCAGCCTGGTCCAGGGCAAAGAGAAGTCTAAAAGATAGCTTGGTTTCCTAATAGATGCCAAGAAAGTTTCAGTATGTATTTAGTTATTGAATCCAAGCATTGTCATTTCTTTCTATGCATTTATCGGAAAACGGTTTCCGAGGTGTTCATGCTTAAATCAACCAACAACAAAATAGACTAAAAGCAAACTTTCATACAAAAAATAAGATGGCCATTAAAAGCAGGTTAAAATGGTATAATGCCAAGTCCTTGAACCCTAGAGGAATAAAATGTTTAAAATGTCTTCTTGGGAAATGCATGTACTGAAGTTGATAAAATGCAGAGTTGGTTTGGTAACACATTTGTTTTTGCCACACAAGTGAGATGCTCCAGCAGGCTGATATGAAATAAAACATCCTGTCAGAGTTGCAACAAATTGCCCACAGATAGCTGTGCTTTTCAACTTATGAATTGCTAAAAAAAACAAGTCTCCTTCATTCTAGGAGGCAGTACTTTCTCATAAATCACAGGATATGGGAGAAAAATACTCTCCTTTAAATAGAATTTCTCATAATGCAGAATCTAATTGCCCCATTGAGTAGATTAAGGCTACTATAAAGGATGCTCCAACTGATGGGTCTTGATAGCTCAAGCTTGAAGGGCTTCGTCTGACCATATTTTTGACAAATATTTTGAAGCAGTTGATTTAGCAGTCACCAACTTCAGCTGATCAAAAACCCAGTTTTAAACAAATGAGTCAGAACTATTATATTTGTCCATTGATTTGATCTTAAAGCTGCTTGTCTTCCTACCTATCATCTATGCAGGAATTGGAAGGCATAAAAGCAGGAAAAAGCCAGAAAAATAGTGAGAATAAACATTGGTAGTAGGTCCCAGATTCAATGCCTGCCCTCTCAAATTAAACAATGATGGGAATTAACATCTGTGCTGGCATCCTGGATAGTGGCTATCCACATCAATAGCTTTGCTATAAAAAAATCTTATATTGCTATTTGAACTTTATAATCAATATATGATACTACTTTCCTAGAAAAACATTTATTCTTCTAATCATAAACATCTCTTTTAGCTATATTATTGTGTGTAATATGAGAAATCCTACTGTATTCTTTTTACCTGAAATATGGCTCTGCTGCTAAGTTCTCAAGTGAAAAATCTTTTGTTTTAGTCATTCTAACTACTTGGACGTCCATTTGCAACAAAGCAATACATTGATCCTTTATTGACTTGAATCATGTATTTAAACAAGGATGATATAGGTAGGGCACACAAGTCATTTCGCTCACCTGTAGAATGGCAGTTTTACAGCAAAGGAATGGCTTTTTAAAAAACGTAATCAGATAAAAGGATTCAGCTGAATTCAGGAGTATGTCTTGAATAGAAAATAGGAAAATATTATTTCTGGTAAATCATCATGCAAACATTGATCCAGTGAAGCAGGGCCAGTCTGTATACATGAAATTATGCTGGGCATGGAATATTTTACAATGCGTACAATGTTGTTTCAAATCTGCTGGGGATAAACAAAAGTTGGGTTCAAAAAAAGCCACAACTGTTAACCTGATCATCTTTTCTCCAGGCAAGAAAGTATTTTAAAATACTGATGTGCAAATGGTTCCAAATTCACTTCAGTGGAATCCACTTCTTGAAAATGCAAAAACAACTCTCTTTAGTTAAAGATAAATCAGATAGCTGTCAGAAATCCTACATTTTTGTTTAGTATCAAGAGCAAAATAAAACATTTAAAGATACCTTCTTGAAATTTCAAAATATGGGCTTTGGACTGACTGGCTCAAAACCTTAATGTCTTTTTAAAAGTGTCAAAAAAGCTTTAAAAAAATTTAAAGCTACCTTTTCCTTCTATGTGTACTGAATGGACATTGCTTAAATCTACTTAATAATTTTCTAATGCCAGAACCCTGTTGTGTTTGAGAAAATAGATCATAGTTGTATAAAGTTAGACTGCATGTATTTTAAAACTCCTTTTAGTACTGTGCAGAGAAGAGACAAACAGCACAGGAAGCATGCTGACAAAGTTGTTTATTAGTTCCTTGCTGGCCTTTCACTCCTATGAGAAACTTCTTACATGTTTCAGGGAGCAAGAAGTTAATAAGATAATTTGGAGAAAATGGAGATAGAGAGAAGGGGAAAATATTAGTGTCTTTCTTTTCCCCCCCTCCAAATTCTGATTGTTCCACCCTAAAATTAGATATTTACATATTAATCAGATTTCTGTTGTTCAAAATGAAATGTTATAACCATTGAGAAGAGCAAAAAAATAAGAAGCAATGATGTTACTCAGATCAAGTTTGTAATTTTTGTTTTGAAATGTTAAGCCTCTTGTTAATGCTTCAACTGAAGTTATAAATTTATAACAATTTACAGATCATTGTAGGTGTGGGTGTGTTTCCATATATGTACGTTCAAACACAAAACAGTCATGAAAAAAACTCCAAATCAATTTTTTAAATGATCAATTAAAATCCAGGCAGTTGAATTTGGTGAAAGTATTCCAACAGTTTGCTGATTCTTTTGAAATAAATATTCCAAATAAATATCCCAATTTTAAAGTAAAAAAATGAAATATGGGAACAGTCTAATTATTGTACAAGGAAAATGTCATTCTCTGAAGGGTGAGATGCACCCAGTTTGAGCATTCAGATCGACTTTGGGTAGAGGTGCCCACTAGCTATTATGGGTCAATCAGCCTAATCTCGTGTTAGATTGTCCACATGCTTGTGAACATGGGGACATCTTTCTGCTCCTTGGATTTTGTTCATGCCTCAAGCTAATAATTAATGTCAATCTTGTGTGTTGCTCGGAGCCCACCATTGGATCTCATTTGCCTGGAGGGCAGCATACCATACTGTGGCTTCTCAACCATGTTGGAAGTGAAATGTGTTGCCACCTAGTGAAATGTGTTGCCACATTTAGAAATCCAATGTGCAATGTGCTATGGTGCAGCATCCATACATTAAGCAGCAGAAATGTTCAACAACACAAAACATTGTTTTTTTGAATGAGCACAGGCATCTGCCTCCATCAGCAATGTGAATCTCTGCTTTTCAGTCCCATGAATCAATGCTGAGACTACAGGTTAATGAATAAATGCTTTTTCCCATCACTTCTGAGAGTTTTAGAATAGGGGTACAGACAGGTCTACCTGCATTTCTCTTTTTTTGATTTCCAAAGGCTAAAAATGATAGTTTTGTAATGTAAATCC